TTTGGTTGCCATAGCAACTGTTGGATGGCGTGTTCTGATTTGATACATTTTGATCAACTCTAGAATATTCTAGAACGTTTTCATTCCGGTCGAGTCTATCGTGATCACTCAGTCGACTGTGTAAACAGTCGAGAGCTTTATGAAAGCTTTCAATCGAAGTGACTACAAATTTTTCATCCAATACTGATTTCGGCGACGGTTCACCCTTTGGGTCTCTAGACAAATAATCTACTATACCCATATCTTTCCCTGGTATATGAATAACCTTAAATTGATAGGGTAATAGTCTGTCTACCCATCTGGTTAGCCTAGATTGGTAGGTTTTATTTGACTTATTTTCATCCGGAGCAGAAACAAGTGCTTTATGGCCTGTGGCTATCACTAATTCTTTTCCTAGCAAATAATGTTTAAATCGGTCAACAGACCATACTACTGCTAGCAGTTCAAACTCATTTGTGGAGTATTTTTTTGCTTGTGTGTTTAAATATTTCGACGCGAATGCGATTGGTATCCACCCCCCCTCCACTTTTTGTTGTTCCAACGATGCACCTAGCCCACAGTAGGTGGCGTCACATTTTACCCTAGTAGCCAACTTAGGATCGTAATAGTGAATTTTGGTTATGTTTGCAACCGCTGCTTTTATCCATTCGAATATCTCCGAATGTTTTTCCTCCCATTCGAATTTTTTAACCTGAATTTTCACGCTTTTGAGTTTTTTCTTCTCATTCTCTTCTCGCAAGAGAGGTCTCAGTTTATCAGTTAAATTAGCCGCGTTGGGTATGAATTTGGCCAAATGATTTATGCGACCCAGAAAGGACCTGAGTTGTTTCAAAGAAGTTGGCGGACTAAGCTTCAATATCGCTTCCGTTTTTGTTATTTTTGGTGAAATGCCGTCCAGCGATAACTTATGTCCCAGCAAATTTACCTCATTCTGAAAGAATTCACATTTCGATATTTTTAGTGCCAAGTTTTCTTTGTCTAACTTTTCCAGTACGTTCATAATCAATTTTTCATGTTCTTCTTCACTTCCCTTAGACACAATGAGTATGTCATTCAGGAAACAGAATGTATTTTCGACATGATTTAACGTTCTATCCATAGCCTTTTGGAACTCCGCCAGCATGTCTGCCGGCCATAGAATCCGGTCAGAAATCTGTATGTTCCGGTAGCTTATCCTCCTATGATGTTAAAATTGCATTGTTTAGCTGTCTCTGCAGTCAGTTTGAGTTGACTGTACGCGTACTTCAAATCTAGTACTGAGAAATACAGCGTGACGTTTGTATTTGCTGTAACTATTTGGCTGACCCCATCCAGTAATTCATCAACATTAGGCATTTGAAATTTATTTTTGAATAACTGTCTGTTTATGGGTTTTGCATCTAAGGCCAATTTTATGGAATCATTTTTTTTCACTGTTTATTACAAAAGGCGCTATAAAACAATCACTACTACATTTGTCCGGACGTTTTATATGCCCTTCTTTTAACAGTTTTTTCATTTCCTCATACACCTTCTCCTTTATGTATCTTGGAATTCGTCTCCCTTTTTCTTGTAAGGGACAAAGTGGATACTTGAACTTTGTACTGACAACATGGTTCTTCGAACACCCCTGACGGTCGAAAAAGTCTTTAAATTTACTATAAAATTTATTTTTGCAACCTTCTGGCTGTTCGCACAGTAGTACATCAAACCTCGTCTTGTCTTTGGGTGCCAACTTCTGTGTTGTGTGAATCCCTACTTTGCTCTGTAGATCCAGCCCCAATATACATCTCGTGCGTCTTTCTGTGATCAAGAACGATGCTCCCATTACTTCCCACCATGGACTTCCGGTATCAATGGTCAAATTTATGTTTGATGATCGATTCTCACCAAAGCTTTCAATGACCTTATTTAATGCGATCGGGTATTTCTGCGAATATCGACATTCTGTATGTCCTTACCGCTGTCCCTGGTTTCTTGTTTTCTATTCGCTAGCTGTTTTATGTATTCGTCTATTTGTTCCAACGGCGACAACTCAGATTCGATAGCCATTATTTCAAACTCATCGCACGAGTCAAATGACTGAATCAAATTACAGATGATGAGCTAGATGATGTTTCCGCATTTCGCATTCTCGTTTACTTGTTGCGACTTACACATTTTTGCAAAATGATTTGGTTCAGAAAAATTTTTACATTTTTTTCCCATGGCGGGACATTTCTTCAGATGTCCTTCTCAAATAATCGACCGCATCGAGTACACGTTTTCGAATCTATAGGATTTCTCCCCTCTCTTTTATCCGAGTATGATTTCTTTTTGTACGTATTGCTCGATTGTCTCCTGCCATTGTCATTCTTATTACCAATATTCATGATTGGTTCTTGCTTTATTTTCATTGTTCCGTGAATTTGACCTGCATTTGCAGTCGGTGAGTTCGCTTTTTGAAATGCCTGAGTTGTCTGTTTACTCTGTTCAAACTTCAATGCCCTCTTCAATACTTCCTCTGGTGAGAATGTTTCAAATGTTAATGTGTCCTGCAATACCACATTTTTCATTTTAGATATGAATAAATCACGCACTAGTTCATCTTCAAGTGTTCCTAACTCCGCTTTGGCTGCTTGGGCAGTTAATGCTGCATGAAAGGCCTCTAGCGTTTCGCCTGTTTCTTGAGCTCGGTTAAACAGTTTGTAACGCTCATACGTAACACGTTGCGTTTTGTCAAATTCAATCTTTGCCAAAGCAACCATCTCTCGAAATTCTAACTTTGAAACTTCCACATGCGGATTCTTTTCTACAAATTTCTTTTTCCCTTCTGTTCCCAACGCTAGGAATAATTTAGAGGCTACCCTTTTTTGTACTTCATTAAAATATACGTTGTGTCCAACCTTTGGTCCTCTAGCTCTTCTTTAATCGTTTTCCAGAAGAATTTTGTCCCGTGCGAGTTGGTTTCTGGCCTCTCTCTCTGTCTGCAATCGCCTGTGCATTCTCATTTTCTCGTGGAGTCTCCGGCCTCGGTAACGGTTCCAACAAAACTTCCTTTGGTTTTTCTAACAATAGTTCCGGATTCACGCTCTCCTTTACTGTAACTGCCAGTAAAAATTGATCTAGCCATGTCTTGAAATTTCACGGAGGGTCGGAATTCGCGGATGTCCAAAATACAGGAATTCCCATATCCGTTCTATTGTCTTGGGACATAAATCCTGCTGGCTGCGCCATGTGGTATTCCTATGCTATGGGTGTTGGTTAGTAATAAAACAGAAGAGTAATAAATTGTAAATTAACTCTTTGTGAGACTTGGTTTTTGTTTAGAGATCATGTTTATCTTTTCATATTTCTCTTCAGATAGCAAACATCCAAATGACTGTTGCATTCGGCCTGCATGAATGGCCTTGAATAATAATAACAATACATAACAGAATAATAATACCACTTATTCTTCAAGGTTACTGTGGCAACAGTACTACACAGTACCACAAACTTATTTCGAAAGCCAAAATTTTTGGCAGAAGTGTAAATTTTGAATTTTTGAATAATGTTCCCTCTGGCAGAGCATTGTTTTTACAAAAATTTTTGTAGCAGCTTGTAAGATTGATTGAAAATGAAACTACTATATTATCTATAATTGTTCTCAAATTTAATACAAGCACTATACTCGTAATTATCACCTAGTGTAATATCACCATTTTGCAATTTGGTTTTAACAAACACGTTTTACTCTTTACAACGTTCATTAAAATCTAAGTTCTGGAGCATCGAAATTTTAATGATCGCAATATGATTGAGCACAAAAAAAAACATTTTAGACCTCGAAACTCATCTAAGAAAGTTTTTACAAAATTCAGTCATTTTCATTAAACTCCAGCTAGTTCAAAATTTTTACTCTCGAACTTTGTTCAAGGTTCAGATCAAACCTGAGATTTTTTCGGCACAGCAAAACTTCCGCAAAATTTTGTTAGAGTTTTAATAAGCCGCAAAAACGCTTATCAAGGAAGTCATGAATGTTTAAAACAAATCGAAACTTCGGAAAATTAAAAAAAAATGGTTTTTCTCGATTTAAAAAACAGCGCTGCTTGTATACAGTGCTGATTTAAATTATCCGGACAAAACGAACAAAATTTGAATTTTCAAACGCGTTGTTCTCAAATTGGGTTAAGATTAGACAAAAAGTGAAGACAACAAAAGTTGCTTAGAATTTCGCCAGAATTAATATGGTGCTATTTTTTCTCCGAAATTTTCAACAAAAACTTTACCCCAAAAATGGGTCATTTTGGCTTTTTTCAATTAATCAAGAATTACGCTGAAACTATTTTGTTAATTGATGAGAAAAATATATCACAGGAAGCCTCTTACGCAGTTCAACAAAGTTTAAGAAGGGTAAAATCTCCAAAAATTAGAGCAAATTGTTTAAAATTTATTTTTAAATAGAGATGCTGGGTTTTATATAGTAAAAATCACATTTATTGACTATCAAGTGAAAATTTTTTCTCTTATACTGGTTTTAGGAGATTTTACCTTTCTTAAACTTTGTTGAACTGCGTAAGAGGCTTCCTGTGATATAATTTTCTCATCAATTAACAAAATAGTTTCAGCATAACTCTTGATTAATTGAAAAAAGCCAAAATGACCCATTTTTGGGGTAAAGTTTTTGTTGAAAATTTCGGAGAAAAAATGGCACCATATTAATTCTGGTGAAATTCTAATCAACTTTTGTTCTCTTCACTTTTTGTCTAATCTTAACCCAATTTGAGAAAATGCGTTCGAAAATTCAAGTTTTGTTCGTTCTGTCCGGATAATTTAAATCAGCACTGTAGATGTAACGTCATTTTTACTCTTTCTTCAAATACTCGCCTGCGACGTCGAGTCTTTACAGTGCTCTGCCAGCGCTCGGAAAATCAATTTGGTCGACCTAAAAAAAGTCGACAAAACCTTTGAAAACTTTTTGAGCCAAAGCCTCCCAACACCCCCCCCCCCCCCCGGGAAAAACCCAGATCCGCCCCTGGTAGAAATTTAGATGGACGAACCATATCGTATGACTGGTTGTAAAGTTGCTGGATATTGATGCGGGACAAACATTGTTCCCAATCTTCCAGGAGACAAATTTTTTCGATCGTTCTATTCACTATTTCGTCCACCATTCTCTCAGACGTAGCCTCCGCGTGCGCCTTCATGTCCCGCAGTCGGTCTCGCTCCTGGGGAAGCTCCATCGCCGAGAAGATCAAAGCGCCGATGACCAGGTAGGCAGTCACTCCCACAAGGGAGTTCACCAACGCTACTGTGGATCGCCGACTCCATTCTAGGAAAATTGAACAAACAAAAAATAAAAATGGGAACTATAGCTTTTAACAAACTTATCGGACAACGTCTTAAATTTTTCAAATAATTATGACATTGAGACAGTGAAATGGCGTTAAAACTGTAACCGAATTTTCAAAACTGCATTTGAACTGTCAAAAGAGCAAGGCAATTTAATCAAAGACGTTTTTCAGAAATTTAATACGTAGTCTGATAAATTTGTTAAAACAATACGTAACAAATTTGCATATTTAGTTTGGTAACTTCCCAAATGACATAATTCCCAAATGGCATAAAAATGAACCATTTCCCGAATGGCATAAATTTCAAGTTATGATTGTAATTCAAGCGTTTTGTATGAGCTTCTAATTCTAACATTTTGTCAGGAATGAAAACAAGTGATTAAGATTTGGAATTAATTGCTTCCAAACATATTTTAAGTGACCACAAGAAACTTATCAATAAATAAAAGTTTGAGCTTTTCGCTTTTGATAACAAATTGAAAAAAAAATTCAAGATAAAATGTCAATCAACATTTGAATTGACAACTTGACTAATTTTCTCACATTGCTTACGAAAAACTTGTTTTCGATTTTTTCAATGCAACAGTTGCATGAAAATTATGCCATTTGGGAAATTTATTATTTTTATGCCATTTGGGAATTATGCCATTTGAGACGTAACCATTTAGTTTAATTAACAAATCACTTTTTTTGAAAGGAGAAGGGAGTGGTTGTTGAGACTATCCAAATTCAGAAGTATAGTTTTCTCACGATTACAAATTTATTGGCCGAAGTTTTTTTTGCTATTTAGTCCAGAGCTGTATCTGTGATTTTGGCGAGAGAGAGGCGATATTCAGAAAAAAAATATATTATTTGTCGACTTTTTTAGACAGACAAGTAATTGATTTTCCGAGCGCTCACAAAACACTGTAAGACTTTACTAATCTGCGCAACAGGTTCGAAGTGCTTTAGGAAAATTTTTAGGGTTGTTTGACCCAAACTGAACGTCATAAAAAGTAGTAAAACGGGTTCGATAGATGATCAAGTGATAACCCCTCCCCCAATGAAAAAAATTCGCCCCTTATTCAGTCTAATCGCTGAAAAAAAATTGTACTACAGGCCTGCAAAACGTTTGTTTTTCCCCACATTCGCAGAAATTGATGTAATGGAATGTTTAATCTCGGGTTAGTTCTTTTCTCCAGACCAAATTCCACTATTTAACTAGCCTCTTTTGATGGAGTTTTTTGAAAGGTATTGTGTCCTGAGCTCAAATTAAGAAAAAAATTTACCCGTGATCATTTTTTGTTATGGTGTTCGAAAGGTTGCCAAACTAGGCAATTAAAGATAATTTATGCATGGAATGATTCCTGCATTTAACGTGTAAGCAGAGACTTAATCCCTATTTTAAATTGTTCCAAATTGGATTGCCGCAGTCTAATTGGTCTATTTAATACTTTGCTACAGTCTGAAGGGATGGTTTTCGAAAAAATCTGAAAAAATTGAAATAAAAAATTTATTTGAAAACATATTCAAATTGTTTCGAATCAAACGCCATTCTTTAGAGCTTAAAAGGCTTGCCGTGATGCGAGCAGTCTTTTAAATGTTTTTTAACTCGAATAAGTTTGAAGTTTCATTCTTTTACGATCTATGAACCACAGTTACGATTGGTCCCGAACTGACAAAAATTGTTTCGGATCGATTTAAATTGATTTTAAATCGATTTTAAATCAATCCAAATCGATTAACAATGTATATTTCACGAAATTAAATGGATTAATTCAAGTGCTTTAAAAATCGATTTAAATCGAATTGGATGGATTTTCCGACTCACTAAAATTCATCCGAATCTCACTTAAGCCCATCCAAATCTCACTTAAATACATTGTACATCGAAGCGAAAAAAAGAAACGGATTAGATTAGTTTTTCAACTCAAAATATGCAAGGCAATCATAGAGTTCTATTCATATTTCAGTCTTTTTATACGGTCTTTTTTATGCTTCAATATGCTATGGATGTAAAATTAAAAGTGATAGGCAAGGAATAAATGCAATTAAATATTAAAACTGAAGAAACTCGAATGAAAAAAAAATCGGTTTTAATTGGTTTTAAACCATTTAAAAACAAAAAACAAACTAAGACTGGAAAAAACTGATTAAAAATCAGTTTAAAATTGACTTGGATCAATTTTTGTAGCTGGAATTTACGATCAATTTAAACCGATTATAAATCGCTCCAACTCATTCTTATCTTTTATATTTATTCTTTGTTTTTTTAAACTAAAATCAATCTAAACTTTTTCAACATACTTTTTTCATACTGAAATTGATTCTAATCCACTTTTGTCAGTGCGGGGAAGAAATCATTCATGCGACAATCCACTACAACTGTTGTTTTCAGCCAGACAGGACCACTAGAAATTGGTTTTGAATTGAATGAATTCAATTGACCCAGCCTAATAAAAAGTTAACTGCTGGTTCCCCGCGATGGTAAAATTTTGTTGTTAACATTTAAAGTTGAGAAAATAACAGTACGTAACTCTGAATACCTTCCTATTATTAGAGCACAAAATAATGATGCTTTATAGTTTTAATTTCTATAATGTTATGATATAGATCTTAATGTTTCTACAAAACAATCGAACAACAGAAAAAATCATCAAAAAAATCACAATAAAATCCAAATGTATTGTCTGCAAATTTTGCTCCAACAAAGCGGTGAAGAGTAATTTTTCAATTAACTAAATTTCAAGAACCAATAAACGAGCATAGAATTGCGCTAGTTTCATATTAATGCATTTTTAAAATAAAAAAAAGCAATTATTTGAAGAAAAAAAAATAAGAAAAAACAAGGATAGCTGATTGCTGTGCAAGTAGCCCGGAAGGTTCCGACCACATTCATAAGAAACTAATGTTTGCCGTGCGTGGTGTCATGAGAAAACTATAAAAAAGGCGTAGAAAGTTAATTATTTGGAGGTAACTGACAACGGTTGTCTTCAAAAACGAATAAAAAAGAATGAGATTAAAAAACAAAAATAAAACAAAAATGTCCAAATTTTATCGACTTAATTTGCAATAGGATTTTAAAATCTTTTCGAAGTTTATTTTTGCAAAATAAACCATGATTGAAACTATTTTAAATTGTTTCCTTTTTTATTAAACTAAAATATTTTAGCCTTAATAACTATTTTTTTTACTCAAAATTCGACTCAAACTCAAAAATTGTCAGCCAGTTTTTTCAAAGTTTGGATGTTTTTGAAACTAATTTTTTGTCACGGCTGAATTTCACGATGTTATACTACTAAACCAAATGGGATTGGAAGAACCGACTTTGGGCGAGGAAGAAAAAAAAGCTAAAATAAACCCGACCCGACGACAAAGTTACCCGCATAATATCTCCTCGTACTGTTATGTTACTATTCTGCAGATAGTGTCCCTTTAGTACTGAGTTCGAGAATGACCACCGCGGCTTAATACCACTCACAATCCCGAATGGGTTGGTTTGGTGGGAATTTAATCCTAATTGTTTTATATTGATTGCCCTTTTCGCGATGTTCTATAGAGTTTTTTCCTTTTTCTTGAACCACAAAATATTTGATAAAAGAAACTGATTTCAAATAAATGTTCAAGTAGATAAAATTTTGAATTGGACTGAAAGTAATACTCATCAAATTGCTTGAAAGAAAAGCTCCGCGATCAAGTTCGGCAATTCAATACGCAATCGTTTTTTACCCTTTTTTGTCTAAATTGCTATCCCCGTTAGCTTGACTCTAAATCTCACTCGATTTATCTAAGTATGGGAGAGTTAACTTGCCACTCGCTAAAATTTGCTCTTACACTCTGAAAACCAACATCTTGAACCAAAACGAAAACTGTTCTATCTCTTATAGGCTCTGCGGTACCTTCCAACCCCTTATCTTCATTTACACTTAGTATCGGTTAAGGTCAAGCGTTTAAGGTTAATCTTGGAATCCTCCTTGTTCACTCCTCCTCACAAGTTTTATGATCACTTCCCTCCCTCCCCCTGTCAATACTTCCAATAATCAAGTTCGGTTTGCTTTATCAATTTTGTCACGCTTATCAGATACCCGGTATGCCGCAGGTGTCACAATTCGACCCATGCAAACAAATATCATATGATCCTAATCAGTTAATTCTTGAACTTCGTGAATTTCGAGCATCTTAAACTCCCGGCTACACTCTTTTCCAATCTCAAACTTCTAGCTATCAGTGTAACGAAGTTCGTCTTTTAGGGGTTAATTAGGGCACGAGTCGCCTCCGGGGAGCCCAGTGAATTTCATGTCCAATCATATAAAATATAGGAGAAATATTTCCCATGCTGCGTTCTTATTACTGCTAAATTCCTCTGGGATAACCTAAATTGTAGTCTAGATGAAATGCCATTAAGAGATCATTCGCCAAGCTCAGCTGAATCCAGTTCTACTACATCAAAGTTGTCAAATAAAAGCTATATCCCTTCCAGCTTCTGCTTTAACTCGCAAAATATAAGTTTCATCTCAATTGTTAGTAAGATGACCGGTTCTTATCTCCAGGGGTTGGGCTGGAGAAAACGCCACTTTCCGGTGTTAATCCCGGATTATCTAGATAATTAGGGGTCATAACGTCCAAAGGTCAAATTAAAGATCACCCTAGGGGTCATGCGGGGTCAATTTTTCCTTCTAGGGGTCAGAATATATGGGGGTCCTATCCTCCAAGCTTCATCGATATCCCATTAAGACATTACAGGTTATCCCATTTTATGAGTCTATTGTCACTTTACCTATCATCCTTCCAAGTTTGAGCTTCCCATATTTTTTGTGGGCCGAGAAATGACTTCCGGAAGTTAGGGGTTGGTTGTTTTTAGGGGATAAAAACGGAAGTTGGGGCTCCAGCAGCTCCAAAATTCTAAGCTTAAGCGTCCTTTAAACTCGTCTTAAACATACTAAAGTTTGAGCCCAATCCAACCGCTATTTACGAGTTCTGATAGAGTTATTTACACACC